TTTTTTTTTATTTCAGAGAAACAAATATACATCAATTACGTTTGGATAAGACAATATGACATTGTGGTCAATGTTTTACCATTTGTGTTTGAAGTAGGGAGGTTTCTCATTGTAACACTCCACAAAATAACGGAAAATAATCCAGTTCTTGATGTAACAAGTTTCAAACCATACAAAGGACGAAGTAATTGCAGTTCATAAGACAATCCATCAATTCATTTTCTCTGTCTATGACATTACAGTCTTTACAGACCATTTGTGAATGTTTTATTCAGAAGAATTGTTCTGCGCATGTAGAATTAAAAAGTAAAAAATATATACTGTAATAGTTCTGGGACACATACAGTACTCCCGGCAGGGAGTTATATATACATGTTATAACAAAATTATATTACAAAGATTCTTGAAAAAGCACACCACTTAAAAAAAAAAACTTGTCTGACGATTGTCAGTTTACCTTATGCCTCCACCTATTCAGTTGACATCTATCTGTATTCAGAAATAAGATTTAAACAAATATATTTTTAAAAATGACATTATGTTTGGGATAGTTTGTGGTAATACACGTCTCTGCAATTCTACAATCATATAATTCCTAAAATAAGCACGTCGTGAACGAGAAAAAGACAAAGCCTTATAAAGAAAAAAAGACAAATAAAGCGTGGCTTTTTTTCCAATGGAATCCACGTATTCGGATCTCCAGGTCTGAGGAGCGCACATATAAGAACTACACTTCCCAGCACCCCTTTCCCGGCCACTACCGTCGACGTAGTTTGTCGGGCGACCCAGTGCTGACATGGCGGCTCCCATGGAGTTTCTTCGGCGAAAGAGTGGTCCGCGGTTAATAATTCTATTCTTTGTCGGACTCTTTATCCCCGCAGTAACTGCCCTCATTGAGGGGCTATACTGTGGGACGGAGGTGTGCTACGACGTGCTCGGGGTCACACGGGATGCCAGTAAATCCGAGATTGCCCGTGCCTACCGACAGCTGGCAAAAAAGTATCATCCTGACAGATTCCGAACCGGGGATCCAGCGCTGGCAGGAGAGAGTCCGGAAAGTGCCCATCAGAAATTTCTTCTCATCGCCACAGCTTACGAGACGCTGAGGGTAATCAGCAACTTGCTCGGTACATCACCAGTCTAAACGTCTCGTCGTGTAGAGACGTGCAGTGCAGATCAGTGCTGGACTGACACGTTACCTCAGGAAGTGGCTGGGGGCAGTTCCTGTTCTGTACATTGCAGGAGGCTCTAGCAGAGAAAATGTGTGCGGGAATCCGTGTTGGAATGCTCTGATTTCCTAACGAGACGCGTCCTAAGAGGGTTTTTTTTCCGTGCAGTATAGTGTGAATCAGGACTTTTGCAGAACTGCTATTCGGCGGTGCTGCTGTTGAGGGAAACGTGAGCCGCAGGAGAAATGGCCCCCTTCACTCGAATTAGAATAGCAGGAGACCCAGTTCATGCACGGACAGTCGCGCTTATTAAATGGTTGAAGTCAAAGGAGTTTAGCAAGAAGTGAACTAAAAGTCGAAATCTGGGAGCAAGCATAGTCTCAAATGACTTCGTAATTGGTTTAGTCGTTTTAAGTCGATTACAACTATCGTAAACAGAAATCTACAATAAATATTTCAATTAATGTCCTTCGTGTTCTGTAGCTCGGTGTTATTTTAATTTTTAATTCGTGAGTCGTGTTCTAGGTTTTTGTTATTTGTTTTATTATATAATATTTGATTTAGCTGAATATCCATTTATGTGTTAGAATTTTTAAATTTGGCCTTAAACATTGGTATCTATTAATCGGGAAGTGGAAAAAAATGTATAGCCTTTACTTCGTTAAATACCTCAATCCTGTTCTCTCCTCTTTTAATCCAAAAGAAAATAAATATTCACCTGCGGAATTCTAATGGTTTACAGGTACACAATTGCTACGAGTATAAATTAACGTAAATAATGAATGAATAGTATTGAGATGTTAAAAAATGCACAATGGAAAATGGACCGTATTGTTTATAAGCTTTATAAGTCACAGTTAAGATGTAGTCACAACTGACGTCGGAGCAGGAATTTAACAAGCATTCATGAATGGAAAACGATTTCTGGTTTCAGCAGCGGTTATATCCTTATCTCTGAGGTATGGTATGAAGTTTTATTAGGTATGCTTATAAAGTAATGTACCTACTGAAATTTGCTAAATACTTTCTTTGGCACTGTGTTGTGTACACATTGATAGGAACCAAAGTCCAGCAGGACGTGTTGGTGCTGCTCCATAATTCACTTTGATGTGTTTTGTCTTGGAAGAGTGTAGGCAGTTTAAACTTTTTTCTTTGTTCTTGTGTATTGCAAAAGTGTCTCTGTTTCTTCCTGGATAGAATGGGCTTCTGCTCTTGGTTAGATTGTGCCAAAGTGTGGGATTAACACCTGTGCTGTGCTGCCTTCGGGCTCTCTTAATATCTTTTCTGTGCCCTCCTCCCACACTCTCATCTGGTCTCTTCTAGGATGAAGAATCTCGGAAGGATTACGATTACATGCTTGATCACCCTGAGGAATACTATAGCCACTACTACCACTACTACAGAAGGAGGCTGGCTCCCAAAGTTGACGTCAGGATTGTGATTTTGGTAACAGTGTGTGCCATATCGGTATTCCAGGTAAGCACATTTATGCAAGTCAAATAAAATCTTATATTTATGAACAGAAGAAAGCTATCTACCAGGTGGCTCCAATGGCCTCCCATTGTTTCTAACTTAATTGATCCAAGAGTCTTGAAGCCAAAATATCATCTTCAGGCACTTGGCTTAGTAGCTTTATCCATTTCTCTCACAACACGGCAAATACCGTAACTTCATTTAATGTTTTGCATGGACAGTAACTTAAGCTTTTACCAAAGAGATCTTTTGTTCTCTGGTACAGAATATGCCATGGTATAAATATTACTGATTGTACATTAAATCTTATGAATTGGCATCCTGCTAAAAGTACATGGTGTCTTTGTCGGGTGAGGTTTAATTGTAATTACTAACCCTGCTTCCAGTGACTGTTTGATTATTAAGTCTCTATGAGAGAAGGAAAATGATGTGGGAGATGTCATGTCTGGCCTGTCCTAGACTGAACACACCTTGCTCACAGGAGCTACACATTCACTGTGTGGCTGATCTGGAACATGCCAAAAAATCAAAACTTCAAACACTGTGCACTGTTTGTGGAGGAAGTGCCAGAATAGTTTGCCGATGTCTGGTCTAATTTCTGATTTGAAAATTCTTCTGTTCTGAGCGGACTGCTTATTTCTTTTTCCTGCCTTGAGGGGCGATCATTAGTTAAGTCCGTTGCATCTTTTTTTAACTAAAGAAAAAAGTCGCTTTCAGATGGGAAATAAAAATCGGTCTGTGTTTCTAAAGAAGTCTGCCAAAGTAAAAGTGCTCAGTACAATATACTAAACGTAGTAACTTGTTTAACCTCCAACATCAGGAAATAGACATTTCCTGGTATGCACAGCACCATATACTGCGATTCAGAACTAGGTGACGAAACGTCCAGTGACGTGAAGTGGCCTTATTACATTGTAAAGAATAAATCTCTCCTAATCTAATACAAATATTGCTCTCGACTTTGAGACGGTTTTGCCGACACATACAACCTACTTGTTAGCTCTGCATGCAGATCATGTTAGAACATTGCTGCAGTGAAATGTCTGCTGCAGGATCTTTACTTATTTGCTCATTCATCACATTATAGTAGTCATTATAGTGACTAGTGAGCAGGAAGGGCCACTTCACAATTCAGTTCGCACAAACTCTTGCTCTCACTGGTGGTGCGACCAGTGGTTTGCAACAACATTTTCCAGTACTTCCATAAAGATTATGATATTGTGCTTAATTTGAAATTTGTATTTTTTTTTTCCTATGCCGTCAATGAATTTATTTTGTTACTGAGATTCAATAACCGGCCTGAGAAATTGGAACTGCAGCTCCCCTTTAAAATCGAACACGTAAAGAAGGCTCTTATGTATGATTTACAGGAATCAGTTGTCCTTTAAAGTTAAAGCAAAGGATATTTTGTAACCTTATAACAGTATTTGAAACAGTAGAGAAAATTATTCTTCACTATTGAATGTAAAGTTGCAAGCAGAAAAGATGCACTTTGGAACATTTCCTATTAACAGTGAACAGGATGTAAATGTTCTTTCTTTAAACACACATTACATGAAGCAACAGAAATGATATTAATTATTCAGACTTTGCCAAACATAGTGCAATGATAAACAAAGCACTTTATCCGGTTGTGACTGACTGAGACTAGAATATTTTCTCTTCATCGTATGTTATTGCTTAAAATGAAATTGAAATTTTCAAGGTGTAAAAAAGGACAGGGGACCTGAACATCAAAGGGGCTCAATTTCACCAAATATTGGGACAAATGACAATTTCTGGTTTTAGTCCTGTGCAAATGTGACTTTATTTTATTTGATTTTTTTTTAATGGGGGTATATGAATGCTGGCAGTAGACTGTGATTCAGGAACAGGCAGTGCATACAAACTGCTTTGGTTGCATGTTTGCATGTGCATGAGGATATGAACAAATGGCCAAAAGTACTGACCCATCTGCCTCTGTTTTCCTTAGTATTATAGCTGGTGGAGCAGCTACACTGAAGCTATTAACTACCTGTCCACGGTGCCTAAATACCGCATTCAGGCTACTGAGCTGGCTAAGCAGCAGGGGCTGATGAACAGGACTAAAGAGAAGGGCAAAAACCGCAGGTCGAAGGAAGAGATCCGGGAGGAGGAGGAGGAGATCATCAGGGACATCATCAAGAATAAGATTGACATCAAAGGGGGCTACCAGAAGCCCAACATATCTGACATTCTTCTGTGCAAGATCCTCCTCTTCCCCTTTTACCTCTGCACCTACGTCATCTGGTACTGCACGTGGGTCTACCGCTTCCACATCAAGAGGGAGGAGTACGGAGAGGAGGAGCGGCTCTACATCATCCGCAAATACATGAAGATGTCTCAGTCGCAGTTCGACAGCCTGGAGGACCACCAGAAAGAGACCTTCTTGAAACGGCAGCTCTGGATCAAAGAAAAATACGAGGTGCGTGCAGACCTCCTTCTCCTCTACCTCAGTCTTGAAGCAAAATATTTTTAGATTCGAGTATTGGAGACCGTGGCCTTTCAGCGTTGCCTCTTGCTCTTAGCTGCCGGGGGTCTTCCACGATGCATTCGGCGAGTTTCCTGGCCTCACCCTTCTTTACACTACATCTTAGTCTTCAGTAATGGTTCAGTTTCACCCTAAAGTCCAGGTGGCTCTAGTAAAGTAGCTTGTGTTGTAATGATAAACTCCGGCTTATGTCATGTTTTTAAGTTTCAATTCTTCTATTTATGTTACATGATCTTTTCAGGCTCCTCTTTTCCATCTGGCCAAAAACAGTTAGTATACGCACAAGGTTGGTTCCTGTGATGAGAGCTCGGAAGGATTTTGTCAAATGTAAGCAGCTTTTGCAGTGGAGAGTCTACTGTGGTTCTCCTGTTGTTTCTTAGTATTCACCTGTGTCTTGGGGGGATATCTGATTTGTTTTCCAGCAGGAGTTGGTGATTTAGTGCTCTCCAGCACTCTATTTCCACAAAAGGGTGGACTGTTTCACCTTGTGTAAGATGTGTATTTCTGGAATACACTGTGCTGAAAATAAAACTGCCGATGTCGTTAATGACGACTGTTGCCCAGTGGAAATATATTTAGGCTCATTTGTCTTCAGATTCTGAACTACTCTGCAATGAACTATTTCATCCGAGATAAATAGTTTTTCTATTTAAGTGTACTTTTGCAAAATATGGAATTATTTTTTGTGTACAATTGCAGATGGAAAATATTGGCATCTCATACAAGGCTACTTGCTAACTTACTGTGATAGTTAAATGTGGTAACACTGCTAAATACTTCTACATTTACTTCTACCCCATGCTCCTTTATTGTAGCAAGTGATAAACATTTTCTTCCAAATGAAATGAACGCCAGCATGTAGCTACTTAGGTCAGGTCTGCAGCTGCCTTAATTGGAGAACTTTTATCTAGTTGCTGGGTGAACTGGGTGCCTGTGTAGGTCATTGAAGTCTGTGCACTGTAAGAAAATACTTTGATATCTCACCTTCGGATCAGAATGTAACTGCCTTGATGTAGTCTCAGAAGAGAGAATTAAAGGTTCAATTCCAGTTGTTTCCTGGGCCACCTGGCATTACACGTTTTTCATATCTCACCATTTTGTCAAAGAAACTGATCTCAGGTGGAAATTGAACCTGTTGTCAGGCAGTAGATTGAAGAATTCCTTCTCAGCCCAGCCCAGCAGTAATTCTGTGTTCCTCTGATGGTACACCTACCGTTCTGCACGCCCTGTCCTGTTCTACCAGGGAAAGATAACTCTGTGGTTTCTCTTTCCCTACAGGTACTTTTTATATTATCTGCTGTGGATGCAAATTGTACAATGTCCAGCCGGTTTTGTAGATCACCTTTTAGCCAGTTTTGAAAGATACATTCTGATCAATTAAACATGGTTTGTTTAATTACATAATTTAGATGTCATTTAAGGTCTAAGTTATAACTCCTTCCCAGCCCTCAGGGATGAGATTTCTGTTAATTCAGTGGATAACGTGCTTGATTCATCAGTACCTGACAAGTGTGGCCAATCATTAAAAAAGCTAACTGGATTAAGGCTCTCTCAGGGTTGGGGAATCTAGATATAAACAGTATAAAGATGGCTTCCGTTTACCTATAAATGCTTACCGACCAGTGCATTAGCTGACCTGAAGGTCACCAGGCATGCCTTTACTTAATGGAGCAAGGAGAGTAAATGGTGAGTCTTTGGCTTTGGTTTTTTTTTTTGGGGGGGGGCAAATTCAAGCCATTGTGTTCCTTGGAAGCTCCACCACAGAGGGTCTCTGGAGAGGCACCTGCGCAATTTAACGTTAACTGTAGGTCAACCACTTGTCGTGGCAGGTCTACAAGGAGGAGCAGGAAGAGGAGATGAAGATCAAGATGGCGATGGATCCCCGGTGGAAGAGATATCGGCGATGGATGAAGAACGAAGGGCCAGGCAGACTGACCTTCATTGATGACTAAACACTCATAGCGACGCCCTCGCGCCAATGTATACATATATATATATACACTGTATAGACAAGTATATAAATACGACTCTTTATAGAAGATATCTCTACAGATTATTTTCTTAGTTAAATTATATCAGAAGTTTAGTGGCGAGTGGTTGGACTCAGGAATCTGCATGGTGTTCCCTCTCTTGGTCTTACAGTTTTAACTTGAAAGGGCAAGAAAAAAAACACTGTCCTGTCGTACAAGGTATCACCTCAGACTGTTGTGAATCGCTTGACATCTTGTCCCTGTGATTCCTTCAGCAGCATTAGACCTTAAAAGCAAACCTCTCCTTTCCCTCAACATCTCTTTTTCATGTTGTCAGAGTTTTCTTGTCGTTGGATTATGGGGGTTCTGTTTTATTTGTGTGTCTCCATCGGCTACCCAGGTGCTGTGGCTGTGACCCGTATATCACGACATTTCCTCTACATGCAGAAACGGCAAACTTGATCATGTTAATAAGGGTTATGTGGTTTTATTCTGAAGCACATACAGGGAATTATACTGTACCTAGGGTCATTTTATCACTGGTCTTCAATAACTATTTTTGTAAAATGCATGGTAATGAATCAAACATATCACTTGGGGATTTCTTATATTCTGTTTAGATTTTACTCCATTACTGCCGCCGATAATGGAAGTCAGAAAAATACCGTGTAAAATATTTTGACAGACCTCTTGTCTATTTCTGATTTTTGCTTGGATCAGTACACTTTTTATGGACGGGAGATTTAAGTCCATTGGAATAGCCCTCCAAATGTATCACTTGGAGCTATTGTATCCTTGTGTGTTCATTCCTTTCCCTGTGTCCTGTGAATCATGTACCCTTATCTCTGCGGCTGAACCTGCTCGTCTATTTGAATTTTATGTTTCAATGTGAGATAAAGGATAATTATTTTTTTTTCTGCTTGTTCAACTTTATGAATCATCACATGAAGGCTGCTTATCACTCTTTTCTAATTAAGCACTTTGAAACATAAAGGATTCCAGTCACTGAAACATAGCCTTAGGACAAACTATTTTTTTCTTTACATAATCATGTTGTAGACCTGTTAACTTTCAGTTTGAACAGCGTTTAATATAACGCTTGTATGCTTTTAGAAATGTTCCTCACTCAGAAGACCAATGTACAATAGGAAGATCATCTTTCATGTAATATTATTGCATCTTGAGACCAAGGCCAGCATCTAGTTCTTTATTTGAACTGTGGAGGCTCTGAATAGTTTATTTTTACGTTTTGGCAAGAATTGTGCAATTTCAGAGTTGAAATGAGTCTCAAAACTTCACAAAGCAGACCTTTGATCCACAATAACTGTGATAGTGCATGATGTGTCTATGGGGAGAAATGAAAATGACTGTTCTAAAATCATGCCATACATGTGGCAAAAATGTGGAAACTGGAAAATTTATAGTGATTTTTCAGGCACTTACAAATTGAATTTTCGCATGTTTTTTGTGAAACGAGGAAAGCATAAAAGCGATAAATTGACGGTAGTCACTGTTTCAAGAAATTTAGTTTTAGGTCAATTTTATAGGATCAAAATGGTTTTAGTGTATGTGGATATGCAGATGAAAAAAATAAATTGATTTATATGTTTTTATCAGAACCAGACAGACTTCTCTTACAGGCACTAAATACACCTCCCACTACCTGCTGTGTTTTTGTATTTTATTTGATTCATATCTTTTGTGACTTTTCTTTTAATGCATTTGCAATTAGGGATTTTCTTTCTCACATTATTTCCCCAAGAGGGGTACAGCACAGTTAAGAAGCCAGGTCATTGGCTATTAGTCTTGTGTTCTAAGCGTATGATTCAACTTCACGAGAAAGCTGAGATGGTGAGGGGCTTTGTAGATATTTCTGGAGAAAACATTCAACACACTTGTGTTATTGTGTGCCTGTCAGGGGTTTTTAGTCTCAAACATATTGATGAGATAAGTGAACACCACTGATGCATAAGATTAATTACACAGGTCAAGTTACAGGTATCGAATGTAGTTGCACAAGGAGACATCTTTCCTTTCTGGACTGGTACTTAAATTTAAAAATACACTTTTGTGAACATGGTTTACATGGTGAAATACCATTGTAGGAGAGGTGACAATGAGGGGAAAAAGATTAGTTTATATTGCATTTTGGTTGGTAAAACAGGATTATTTTTTGGCATTTGCTTTTTTTTTTTGCAATCTTTTTACTTTTTTTTTTAAGGGAACTTTGTCTTGCCCTCCTGGGAGAATACAAGCCATGCAACTCTTTGATAGCCCGAATGGGGAGTTGTCATTACAAAAGAGTTATTCACATCACTGCTGTCTTTGAGTCTTGGCAACAGGATCCATGGCATGGTGCCCTTTTTATCCTGTATATAGCAGTGAAATCTGATCTGTGTCAAAGAAGAAAGAAGCTCTTACTCTGTTTTTCTTTGAAAACACAATATCCTTCATTGCTCTATTCAAAATAGAAGTATTTGGTTATTAGTGTTTTATTTCCTAACGGTTTCTTCCCCAAACACTGTTGCAACATCTGCTTCAGTAGAAACCTCTGTGAGAGACTGAGCATCTGAGGTTTCAGAATTAAGGTTCTGTGCATCTGATGTGTAACCGTGGTTGGTGAAAACTCCTTGTATTTTCTGATCGAGGCAGCTGAACTTTCTTTTGGCCAGCTCCTTCGTCTGAAAGATCAACCAAAGATTTTCCTTCTTCATAGCGTGTGCTTACAGAGCTCGACAGTAATAACTTCATCTTGGACAGCACTTGTCAGAAGACCTTTTCAGTTGTAGACTTTCAAATGTCTGGAGCTAGTGTAGAAAAAAAATGTATGATTCCAATCTGGTGGTTACTTTTACAAATGTACTTTTAGTAAAGACAGTAGTACAATTCTGGAGAGTTGTCTCAGATAAGTCATTTTTGTAATGCAACAGGCTATCTTTAAATAAAATGCAGATAAATACAGTAGTTTGTACAGTTTTTTAAATGAATACTTCTGACGTGTGAATATCAATTTTATGGTTTCTACCATAAACTGGAGGAGTCCTGAGATATTGATATATCGCCTTTATTCGTTTAAAATATTTTAATTTTCTTCTATCACACTACAGGGTATAGTAATGGCTAACTGCCTGATTTTTCTATTTTTTGTTTACGTCACAACAATGAATACATGGCTGTTTAACCACCTGAGTTACTCAAATTGAAACCTGACAATTTAAGAAGTGGTCTATTGAGTGAATTAGCCTGTATGGATTGACAGCTATATATATATAAAGATTTTTTAATCTAAACATCAATTCTTCTTATAGATATTTATATTAAACAGGTTTAAATAAACTATTCAGAAACACTGTGTCAGGAGTAAAACCTGAAATTCTTGCCCAATTAGCTTTCTGTTTATCTGTGTTCCCACTGGCAATACACTTTCTCTGTTTGTACGGACAATATCTCCTTTGTGGAGAGACACTCGTTAAAATAAATTTGGGCAGATGTATGTGGCCTGGTATGGTGGCACAGTGGTAGTAGTCGTATTGCTGCCTTGCAGTTCAATTCCTGGGGTTCTATCTACGATGGCATCAACACTGTTCATGTGTGTTTCTGGTTTCCTCTCAGAGTTCAAAGACATACTGGTAGGTTACTTAGCTTCTGGTCAAGTTGGCCCTGGTGTGAATGTATACCTGTTTGTGTCTGTGCTCTGCCAACAGAGAGTGTCCTGGCCCGGGTGTATCCTGCCTTGAGCCCATTTCTTGCTGGGATAGGCACTGGCTCCTCGGCTACTCTGTATTGAATAAAGTGGTTAGAAAATGGATGGATGTGTGTTGTGGTTTTTCACCTTTGTATTAGGATTCCCCTATTAGATCTCATTACAAATTGTGTAACTATTTTTCATAAACAAGAAACAAAGATGCTTGGCATGTCCTGTGCTTGAAGCTATACAATAGATACAAGTCATATCTTCTAACTCGGGTAGAAAATGGAATACTGATTTCACAGCAAGTTTAAAGGATTTCAACATTGTAGACTATGTTCTGAATCTGTAAAGTGCCAACTGTTTTCTTCATCCTGTTTTTTTTAATTATACATAACATTCCAAGTTAACATAACAGCTTTACAAAGTCGATATACAGTAGTTTGTACCACAGTGCTTTAATACACATTATGTAATATACAGTATATGTTGCATATTGCTATTTTAGCATTGGTGTCTCTAGCACCCCTACTGTAAAGAGTAAAGCTATAATGCATGTGATACTGTTCCATGCATAAAGTAAACAGACAAGTACATTTAGCAACATAATTATATTAAATGTTATGAATGGGACTCGGGACACTATTCATGCAAGACAACAAGGGATTACTTATTCAAACATTGATCCAAAGTGATCTAAAGTGTTGGCATATGAAAACTACAGGATGATGTAAAAAATTCTGATCAAGATTTACCGTAAAATTGGGTTCAGAAACAAGATTTTGCAAAAACGTAGTACAGGGGGGTAGCTACATCAGCATGCGTAGGCTGCAAAGAAACAAGTAATAGGTTTATTCCGTGCTGAAAAGAGAAGAAAGAAAACACAACGTTTCGGCTCTGGAGCCTTCTTCGGGTGATACACCACAGCCACAGCCGAAACGTGTTTTGTTTGCAAAAAAGTGTTTCCTCTGTAGTGTGGCCCTATTTATTATGAACTACACAATCACTAGATGGCAGCAGTGGGATGTCATTAGACCGTAGTGAGACATGCAAATTTACTAATTTGCTTAATCTTGCAATGCACCGCCAAACATCTATCAGGGCAATAACAGATTATGAGACACAGCGAGGATAATGTCAGAAATTGCATGGAGTGAAGATATCTTCTAGAATCGTAGTTACAAAATTGAATTGATCTGAATACCTTCTGCCTTAAAAAGAATATGTAGCAGTTTGTTCACTTATACTTTGAGGTTATGAGACCCTGGTTGGCTAGCAGCACTATAAAAATCTTAAAATACATCAATTTTACATATATGTAATATTAAGAGCATATGGTATATTTTACTTTTCAGAACACTTGAAAACGTTCTCCTGATTCAAGAATTCAAAATCTTCAAAGGCACTGACAAATTCAACTTTGTGGACTTCAGAATCAACACGTACCAGAGGACACCATTTCCACAAGAGGAAATGCAGGTGAAGTGCATTTAATATTGAGAACAGGAAGAACTACTTTACATGCAATACCTAGCCATCCTGTTAAAGTAGGGACTGGACTTCCCTTGCTTCTTTGAAGAACAGGCTGGTTGAGAATCGGTGGTTCTAATATGGATTCCTCACTGATATCATTATCCCATTTAGAGCCTTCATCTTTTATTTGTACTCTGTTTTCTATGCATTAACTAATTTTCACACACATTTCTGTCAATGCCTACTCTCTCTTAAATTTGACAATGTATCTACTGTTTACTACTCGCAGTTCCCCAACTGTTCTCTCATCTTATCTAATCTTTTTTCCCTCAGTCTGTCTAGTTTCTTTGGAAGGACTAGATCAATACAGGCATTCCCTCCTGTAGGTCCTCCAACAGATTTGGTAAAAAAGCAGTCATTAGCCATGTCTAACTTTTCACCTTCTGCTGCTAACAAATATAGGTTGATCCCAGTCTACATGAGGAAAGATGAAGTCTCCCATATAAACTACTTCTTCCTTTGCATGTATTTTCTTAATTCCATTATACGGTGTTTAATTAAAATCAATATCTCAATTTGATGGTTTGTAGCATTCTCATAACACTTTACTTTTGTACTGTATTTTTTTCCTCTGAAGACCGAAGGACTGGAATCTTTTTAGTCTTGAGCAGAGAAGACTGTAAGGGAACCTGATGTAAGTATTCAAAATCCTCGAAGGCACTGTCAAAGTCAACACCTGTGGTTTTCTTCAGAACGAAGAGGGAAACACCAGCCCGAAAGAATGAGGAAGTGCATCTGAAACCAAGGACAGGAGGCATTAATTTACACAAAGGGTCCTAGGAGTGTGGAACAGCTACTCATCCATGACTTATAAGACGATACCCTGTGTTTTTTATCCAAGGTATGGCTGTTTGAGAACCATGAATCAATTTACTGTTTACTACTTAAGTCAATTTATTTAAGTCCAGAGGGCTTGCATCTCCTGTGCTTTGTAACCTTTCTTATACTCTCATGGGCCTGACTCGTATAGATGAGTCTGACTCTGAAAACTTTGATTCCCTTAAGCTATGTTTCTTCTTTTCTTTTACAGTGTGTCTATTAATGTTATATTCATTACCATCACTCTGCCTTAACTATGTTTTTTTCTCTGATTTCCATTGTATCTTATAATCATCATTGCCTGTGTAGTAGCTTCTACCTTGTGCACTTGGTTTCTATTTTGGCCCTGCTTCTTTTTACTGCAGGAGTAGCTGGAGACTATCCCAGCAAGCAACAGGAGCAATCGCAGAGCACATACATAAAGACCAAATTTCCCAGAAGCCAGTTCATCCAACAGTATATGAACAACAGTATATTTTTTACTGTGTTGTATTTGAATGTTGAAAATGTGCACTGGAGAAAACTCTCCAAATCTGTCTTGTGGATTTCTCAAATAACACTATTTGAGCAAACATGGGAAGAATTTTGATGTATATAAATAACAAGCAATATAGGGATGTCCTCTCAGTTGTAACTTGGTTAAGTGTTTTTGATTTGCAAATGTGATGGGTACATAGATCCAGTTACCAGTGCCTGATTAGCTGTGGTCATAATCAACTTAAAACTCAGATGACTCCATCGCACTACAAGACACATGTGGAGCTCATCATCAGGAGCTGAACAATCCGATTTTATTACTTCAGCTTCATCTGCTCTTTAAGTCAATACAGGCCTCACGAAAAGTGTTGAAGATATTCAGATTTTGTTACGTGAAAAGGATTTAATTTCAACACAGAAATCAGCGGGAAAAGCTAAATTACTTTGTAGATAATACGTAAGATCAGACCTTGAATAAAACAAATGACATCGGTACTTTAAGCACAGAGGGCACGTTTATATTATTGTGCATCAATGCACACTCCGTGCCTGCAAGGATGATGTTCTGAAAATTGCCTCAGATGCTGGTATTCCCATATGCTTGCTTAAGACCTCCTCCACAGCCATCTCAATTGACGCTTCCTTTCAGGAAATCAGAGTGGGTGGACTGAGCTCAGTTCCTGTAGAGGCACTAGTAAACTCGAATAGACAGCCAGTATAGTAGAGCTTCATCCTTGTGGAAAGCGGTCCTATTGAGAATTTTCCACAGTCGGCTGAAGTAAAAAGAAACATGTCGTCTAATTCCAACCTGAGTACTATGCGTCGGCTTGTTGAGCAGCTCAAACTGGAGGCCAGTGTCGAGAGGATAAAGGTAAGGACCCAGATACGTTGAAAAAAAGTTTGTTAGCTGAATTTTCTGATGAAAACTGGCAATGTTATAATGAATAAAACTTGTTGTACGCCCGTAATATTTTAAACTTTGCCAGCGGACTTCACAGCGACACAACAGTTACACCGAAAACAGAAGCCTTTTATTTCAAATGAAACGGGATGGGCAAACCGGTGAATAACAGTAGATAACGCTGGACGTAGATGCATTTAAAACAGATTTCTGTATTCTTGTTTTCCTTTTTCGTAAACGGGGAGGCTGTGCTCAATATATACTGGACGTACTGTACATGTTTGTATGCTCCAATTGGCACGGTTTTGTACCTCTTTTTTCTAAAAGAATAACCTAGAAAATAAACCTCGTACATTAGTTTTAATTCTACAAAAAGCAAATAAAAACGTTATTAACACCAAACAATCGCTTTACGTTTAATAAGAATATTTTTTTAAATTTCTCACGTTTATTGCAGAGTTGCAGTATTAAAATGGTAGCAGCAACAACAAAAAAAAAATGGTTGCGACTGTGATCTTTATACTTTTATTTTAGTATCCAGCCCGTGTATTAAATCTTTCAGTCTTCTTCAGTATATTGAAAACAGGTGACTGGTACTTTTTAAAATAGGCGTGGAGCGTTTTAGAAAAAACTGTTTGACGTTAAATCTGCGATTGATAGCAGTACGAAATGCAGTTGCATTTTAGCAGGCAGATTATATCTTTTGGGATGTCACAGCCTACAAATTTGTACGTAAAAACATAAATGAAGTTTTGTATTTAAAAAAATCTCTTGAAATAGTAATGGACCTGTGATGAACAGTACAGTGCCTTACAAAAGTGTTCACACTTCTATGGTGTCTCAGTTTGTGAAATTACAATGATGAAAACATTTCTTTAAACTTGATATTTTATTTAGTCTAAACTGAATGTTTCTAAGTGTTATAAGCGTTCTAGTAAATGCCAATAAAAACTACCAAAAAAATGAAATATATTGATTGTGTAAGTTTTAAGATCTGTAATCACAGTATTTGGTGGAAGCACCCTACAATTACAGCAGGTATTTTTGGGTAGGTTTATCCCAATTTTGCACCCTAGATGGTGGATATTTTGCCCACGTGACAGATTTAGTCAAGCTCTCTCAAGTTGTTTGAGGGATTGCTTATAGACAATAGTTTTGAAGTCTAAACACAGAATCTCAGTCTTACATTCACATTCTGATTGATTTTTAAACCACTTATTCTTAAGTGTAGCTTTGCTCTGATGAAAGTGACTTTTTGCCCTGGATTTAAGTCCAACGCAGACTGTAACAGATTTTCCTCTAGTATTTCCAGGTACTGTGCTTTGTTTTAATTCAGTCCTAACTATCTTTTTCAGTCCCTGCTGAGGAGAAGCAGAACTGTGGCACAAAGCTGCCACTACCATGCTTGACTGTAGGAATTGTGTGTGAAAAGTGTCAAAAGGGGGTTGTGTGTTGGGTCTGTAGTTGTCTATTTTTCATTCATATTATTTATTTTTTTAATGAGTCATTTATTTAAATGCCCATGACGGAAGGGGTTCTTGTATTCAGTTACCTGAAATTGTATTTTGAAGAAATTACTCCTGTTACCAGTAACATCCAATTTTCATTCAATTTCTAAAAACAGTTTCTGTATTAAGACACCAAAGCCATATTAATATATCATTATCGATTTGTTTGAAATGATGATTGTACATGATGCAGTTTGTCCAGGAAAAATATGTGAGATAATATTACAGTGGTCTTCCTGTTTTACATGTAGCTGTTTGGTATTCAAATATATGAAAATCTGTGAGCAGAGTTTCCCATTAACTGGAATGGTGTTCCTGCTGCCTTTTGTTTTTGAGTTCTGCTGAGGTGTCAGATCACCCAGTGATTAATGGGAAGTTTTATCTTTAAGAAAATGCAAAGATACTTTCTTTTCTGTGCAAATTGACTCAGATACTCAAATCCAAACCCAAAATGTCTTTTCTTTTTTTCCAGTCATGACTTTAACTTTTGTTTTCATTATTTATTTTGTGTTCGGTAAATTTGTTTTTTAAGCATCCTCTGTATACTTTCAGTCATTCATAAACATAATTAGAAAGTCTGTTTAAAATGCACTTCTTTAAAAGAAACGTTGGCGTTGTGGTGGATAGCATTGCAGGCTAACAAGTCCTGGCTCCTTTTTTGGGCTTGGATATTGGCCATATATCATTTCTTGTATTAGGAATTTGTCTTTCCGCATACCCCAACTTGCTCTCCGTGAGACACACACACAGGGAGAGAAGCTTGGGGTCAGAGCGCAGGGTCAGCCATTTATACAGCGCCCCTGGAGCAGTTGGGGTTAAGGGCCTTGCTCAGGGGCCCAACAGAGTAGGATTCCTCTGCCGGCTGTGGGATACGAACCGGCAACCTTCCAGCCACAGGCGCAGATCCTTAGCCACAGAGCCACTGCTCCGCCCCCTTGACGGGCTGTCCGCATGGGGTTCGCACGCCATGAGGGTTTTTTCTAGATGCTCTGGTTTCCTTTCACCTCCGAAGGGACGTGCAGGATAGGTTTGAGTGCCGATTGTAAACTGACCCCCCCAGTATTCACGAGTAGGTGAGCTGGGCACCTCATCTCACTCCACGCTGCCGAGAGTGGCTGTGGCTTCCCCCTGACTTGCAGAGAGAATCGAGTGCAAGTTGCGTAGATCAGGAGAGATTTCTTCAAAATGGCGGGCTCTCTTAAAAAAAAAACCCAAAATCGACTTCCAAAATAACATTTTGTAGCTTTAATTTAGTCCATTAAATTTCAATAAACCTATCTCAAACATTTTGTTGTGGTCATCATTTCTAAGGACATTTGATAAGCTATTCAAGTTCTTTTGAATACTTCTACATACACTGAGTGAACAAAACACTAAGGATACCTTCCTAATATTGCATTGCACCACTGTTTTCCCTCTGAACAGTCTCAATTCATCTGGCATGGACTCAACAAGGTGTCGAAAGTGTTCCACAGGGATGCTGGCCCATGCTGACTGCCGTGCTTCCCACAGTTGTGTTGACTGGGCCGGTAGTTGATCTCTACTCTGAATAGCTGGTTCCATGTTATCCCCCAGATATTCAATTGGATTAAAATCTGGTGACTGGGCAGGCCACTACATTAAGCGGAATTCATTGTCATGTTCGAGGAACTATTCCTGGACAATCTCTAGCCTTGTAGCACAGAGCATTGTTCTGCTAAAATAATCCATTCGCAGATGGATACACTGTTGCCATAAAGGGATGCACCTGATTTTCAGATATCCTGTGGCATTCAAAAGTTGCTCCACTTCTATCAAGGGGCTCAATGTGTGCCATGAAAACACACCCCACACCATCACACCACCACCAGCCTGCAATGTTGACACACAGCATGATGGATGCATGGGCTCATCTCATCTTTTCTCCATACCCTAGTCCTCCTATCAGCGTGAGCAGCAATCAGTACTCATCAGACCAGGCAATGTTTTCCAGTCCTCCAGGGTTCAATGTTTTCGTTCCACAGCAAACGCAGTTTCATGTATGTTGCTGGAAGAAGTGTAATTCTGTAAGGTCGTCGGCTGCCATACACCTTTTGTGTCAAGGTTCCGATGAGTTGTGCATTCTTGTATGGGTCTTTCAGCACCAATGTTGTGCTGGACTAAAGTTGACTAACTGTAGACCGTCTGTTGATCTGCACAATTTGTGTCTACCCTCCTTTCACCTCTTTCATCTGTTTTCAACCACTGGCTTGCCATTGGCTGGATTTCTTGTGAGTGGTGTACCATACCATATTCCAAAACCATTCCAGATACACACGGGATACTGTTGAGCTTGAAAAACCCAGCAGTGTTGTGGTTCTTCACACTCAAACCAACAAGCCTCATACCCTCACACCTACTATCATACCCCATTCAAATATTTTTTCTTGCCATTCTCCCTCGCAAACAATCCTTGTCTCAATGGTCTCAAGCCTTAAAAATCCTTCTTTAACCCTTTAAACCTTCTTTGTCTCCTCCCCTTCATCTGTGCTGGTTGAAGTAGATGTAACAGGTGAAATAAATTAGGGATCATCGCTTTCAGCTGGACTCACCTGGTCAGTCTATTTCAAGGAAAGAGCAGGCGTCCCTAAAGTTTTGTACACTCAGTGTATATACTACAGTACGTCTTATTAGACGTGTTAGTGATCAATTCATAAATCAAAAGGTCAAAAGTTTCCATCAGGAAATTCCTTCCACTCCAAGTAATAAGAACAGCTCCCATATTTCTTGTCCACGTCATTAAAAGGTTTCTGTATTACCTGTCCAGATGTTAATACATTGAGACAGAACTTTGCTAAATGTATATTTGTAATATACAGTAGTTATGTTTTTTATTTCTCCAGCAGAATTGTGGTGGTAAAATGAGACTAATGTGTTTTAACTGCTCCAGAGAACTCAAGAGGATGGCTGAAAAGTGAAACTTGGTTTTTGTGTGATACTTCTCATAACAGTAGGTGTAAATCAGTAAAGGTACTCAATATCTGTATATAATATTGTAATGGTTATAGAACAGGTTGTAACATGGTATTTATACAAGTACACATGGTTCATTACAATTGTGCTCTGTACCAGCTGAGTTCAGGATTATTCATTTTGAATTTCTTCTATACCTATAATGACCTGAGAAGAATTTCTTTCCATTAAAGAAGACGGTTTGAAAAGTTATGTGCATATTTTAAAATGTGGAATAGCAAAAGGGTAATTATTTTGCTTCTGTGCAAGAAAATTCTAGTTTTGGAATCATTTCTATCTGTTGGACCATTCTAGCACAAAGAAAGCAGTCCTCTTTCCCTTAAGATTTTCATTATCGTAAATAATGTGCTTTCAATAAGATTTTTAGGCAAAACAAAAAATTATCATAGGGAGCAAATTTCTAACCAGTTACTAAATACAGACTCCATTTTCTCCAGGCAGTTCAAGCACAGACAGTTTATTGTTGAATGACAATGCAAAGCAGTTTTATTTTTATATGACCCCCCTCCCTCGTGGTGATGCCTCTTGAGAGTGCTTTCAAAATTAAAAATAGGACAAAGTGATGTACTCCTCCTGTTTTGAATCTGCAGCTCAAAAACGTCTTCACAGAGAGATATTTTCCATGTATAATTAAAATGATCGAGCACTTCAGCCTTCCTGCTGCTGTTTGGGCGAGAGCCGCGTGCTCTCAGAGTGCCACAGCTGGTGGCCTCAGCCCCCCCTCCCCGAGACTTGGAATAATGTGGAATTCTGCAGTTTTATTATCAGTTACGTTGCCAGATCTTTAGCGTTTAGGCTGTCAAGTTTTAAGGACTTTTCCCTAAGCTTGTAACATTAAGAGTAACTTAAAGCTTTGGGGAATGAGATGAAGTGCTTTCCTGGTCCTGGATCTTTAGTATGGAATCATTTTTTTTTTTACATAATGAACTTTATTCCAAATTGTATACCAGTCTCACAAGGAGTACAACTCTACCAAAACATAAAATCTCTTCTAGGTTATAAAAGTTCTTAAAAGGATGATTGTCCATTTTCCATCAGTTCACTTTGCAAGTGGTTGCTGGGGCTGGATTTGCACACTGAAAGAATCCCGCCAAGCCTCACCTCTTGCTCCGTGTCTTGTATTCGCTCTGTAAACAGCGAATTCATGTTTAGTCCAAAATCAAGTCAATGTTGCCCCTGTCCAGACACACTGGATGAATTGTAAAGTCTTATGGCAGAAGGCAAGAATGCCCTTCTCTAGTGCTCCCTGATGCACCGTGGTTGGATCAGCCTGCTGAACGTGCTCTTCATTCTCACGATACAAACTCCATGCAGATAAGGAATTGACCCTAGCAGAGTGCAGCCACAGAGGGGGAGAAGGGGTGGAGGAGGGGTGTAAAGATGTATGCAGGGGACAGAAGGGGATTGTGTAAAGGATTTGTAATGTAATTTTCTCACCTAAACATCAGTATTCACTGTGAATTACTGACAGCTGATGCTGATTGAACTTCACTGTCATCATCCCTTCCGAGCTTTCGTTATAAACTAAGTTTGTTGTCAGAGATTGTAGAGAAACTGGATCAGGTAAAGTCTCATCACTCAGATTGTGTCTAAGCCATAGTCGCTTGAGTGGATAACGCATGATCAATCAAAATGACTTCAAAAATAGTTAATATTTAAAATCTGCATACATTTATAAAAATTTGTATAAACAGTATTTCTTTTGATCCTGAGGATATATTCTGATCTGTGTTAACAAATGATGTGGAGGATTCAGTGTGTACAGGGTTGTATTTCTGCAAATACTCGTTATCAAAAGCAAGTGAACATGTCTGAACCATACATTTTGAATAAGGTCTCTAAACACAGCAGAGCTGCAGCTTATTAGACTTGTTTTCTAGTTCATTCATGAAGTCTGGGATATCTAATTGGTTCAGAGAGTAGAAAAACCCAAAATGGCTTAAAATTTAAAGGGAGTCTTTGACATTATACTCTTCCATGTTTTAGAAAGCAACCAGTACTGGTAGTTTAAAAGTGGATTATCTGAATTAACTTTGAAACTTAACTTAATGCATTGCATAGTTTGAGAATGAACAAAATTGCTGTGAAGATGTGAGGAGAGGCAGAGAAGCTCTAATGGCTAGCTCCAGATGCATTGAAAGCAGGCCTGCCAATACCCTGTAGCCAGTGAAGCACAGATGGGCTCAGGCCTCTATCTGCACTCCACAGCATCTAAAAATAGCCAGGGGTGGGCCTTGATTATAAAGGTTCATCATCCTTGAAAAATTCAGGCTTGTTTAGAAATCTCTCAGAATGAGAAATGAAAATGAGTTAAAGCAGTGACTTTATAGAGCAGAAACCTCAGCTTAGTTCCATAACAGGCACCCGACCTATAATAAAAAAAATCCCTTTGAAAATCTTGTAATCGCATAATTCTTTAAAAATTTTCATATCCTAGGTGGAAATAGGGGATTCCATGAGAGCTGGTTTGGACTTTAAATGCATTTTTGCTAGTTAAAACTTCTGTAGATAAAGGGAGCATTACACCAAATAGCAGACAAAATATTAAAATCTATTATGTATAGAGGAGACCCTCTGAGCATTTGTGTAGAAAAGGGCAAAGACTACATTTTTTGGCTGTGTCGAAAGCCACTAGACACTAGAAAACTGACATCGGTCAGGAGAAGTATTTATGGCAAAACAGGT